GTTACCTACCTTCTGAAGCAACATCAAGTAAATAATATTTTTCCCCACCCTGAATTTCCCATGTGCATTGTTTTACTAATCCCGTGTTAGTTGTCTTGCCCCGATTTATTACAGTTATTTATTAAATACTAAATTCCCTACCAGGCTGAAGGTTCTTTGAAAGTAGGACTGTAAGTTTTGTTTTTGTTTTTTTCATCTTTGTGTCCCTTTTGGAACCTAGCTCAGAGCCAAGTACAAAGAAAATAAATATTTGTTCAATATAACTGAAGTACTCAATGGTGTGATACACATGAAAAGTCCCATAGTGCCTCAATATGGAGAGATCGATGTGGTTTGAAGTAGTTAGGGCAGGATGGAAGGGCCAGAAGGAAGAGGTCCTTGTGAAGAAGAAATAGCTCCCAAAAAGGCATGGAAACGTGAGGGGCATTAAAGCAGTCTGCCCCCCCCCCCCGCCCCCTCTTATCTCTAGGAGAATGGATAGGCAGAGAAAGTGCTCTTTACTGACTGTGGTCATTCTCAAGTGTCCAGGAGCCCTCTATAAATGTCCTCTGATTATATTTTTACTTCAGTCCAACTATATATAAGGCTACAAACAATAAAGTATGAAATAAATTTTTTTTCCAAAAAGCCCTCATTTTCTTTAGATTCTGCCTTCAATATAAATCAAGTGATAATCTGTGCCAAACTTGGAATTCCATATTTTTGTCCATTCATTTATTTAATAAATATTGATTGAGCAACAATCATGAGCCAGTACTGTGCCGAATGCTACAAATATAGCATTGGATAAAATGTGATCATCAACTTTCAAAAGGCTCACAACCCAATGCAGATGATTAGATCTAAGTCAGTAAGTTGAAAATGGACTGTTTTAGTTCACTCTTTCTGTGAGCAATCTTAGAGTCATTATATTTTGTAGCATTTGGACAACTTCATTTATCTGAGGTTGAACATGTTTCTCCCCAGTTCTGAGGTTGGTGTAGTTAAGTGTGGAAATCATGGAGAGGTTCTTATCATGTTGCTTTATAATAATAGTGCAGTAGGAACCCAATTTTTTTCTGTATGATACTTCAATGAGTAGAAACAGATTAATGCAGAAAAAAAGAGGAGAACTTTTAAAAGCATAGTTAAAATCTTCAGAGATTCAAGACATCAGAACCATAAAATTGTAATAAGCTACTAATAAAAAAGAAGAATCCACCCTAGTCAGTGGATAGAACATCTGCCTGCAGACTGAGGGGTCCCAGATTCAATTCTAGTCAAGGGTACATGCAGATTCCATCCTCAATAGGGGGCATACCGGAGGCAGCCAATCAATGATTCTCTCTTATCATTAATGTTTCTGTCTCTCTCTCTTTCTCCCTTACTTTCTGAAATCAGTAAAAATACATTTTTTAAAGGAAGAATCCAGAGTTCCCAGAAATTAAACATAAAAAAGCAAAAATAACAAAGTTATTCAAACAGAAAAACTGGATATCAGAAATGACATGACTAAAATTTGCTATACAAAGCTAGAAAATTGAGTGGAGGGATTTGCAAATTTAAAGAAAAGTTTCAAGGAAAATTAAGCATCATGGATGATAGTTTGAAGTCCAAAATCTACCTAATAAAAGTTTTAAAAAGATAACAGAGAAGATAGAGGAAAACAAATTTAAAAAAATACGAAAGAGTATATTTCCATGAAATGAAGAAAGATTTAAGTGATTAAGTAGAAAGAACATGCTAAATATTTTATAAATATACAGTAGCATTGAGGGGTGAAGTGAGGATGGTGGCATAATAGATTGAGAAATTTGTAACATCTATATATATATATAAAAAGCCAGCAGCTGTAATGCCTCTAATGACCAGACAACTGGCTGCTATGATGCCCACTGTGGCCAGCAAACCCAGCCCATCTTCCAGCCCCACCCACCCTGATTTAGGGTGGGGCAGCTATCCACCCTTCCACCCTCCCCCTCGGCCCCCTTCTAGGCTGGCCCAGTGCCCCTGGCTGTGGCCCTGTCACGATTGATCGGGCACAGCCAGCCTGCAAACTGCTGGTGGCCCCTCGCCCAGGCCAGGGAGGCGCTGGGGGGCAGGTGTGTGTGGCGCAGTCTTTTTAAAATAAAGAAAGACCCGCTGGCACTCCAAGGCTCCTACCGGCACTGGCCACCCTGTCCCTACCCCATCCCACACAGAGTCCCAGGCAGAGCAGCTCAAGTGAGTGAGCGCCACATGGCCCCAGGCCCCGTAGGGGAGGAGAGGTTTGCGCCTCAGCTGGTGTAGTGATGCCGCTTAACTCTGCTGGGGAGGCCAGCAGGGCTCCCGCATGTTTTGGGGCAGCCTGTTTATGCCGGGTCCTGGGTGCTAGGAGCCCGGCTCAGGCATCATATGGACATATGTGCATGAAAAGGTGTGCACACACCTTTGTGTGCATCACTACATCTATTTCTCAGAAGCGTACCTGGAAAAGTGCTTCATCTGTAATAGGCAGTTTTCAAAATGTAATCCAGAGCAAGAGGTCTGTAGCGAACACATGCACACAAGGAAAGGTTTCTGATACTAAACAGGTGTAATTGAGGTGTTTATGCCCAAATGTCTGTGAATCAAACGTGATATTTACCGTCTGGTGGGTCTGTTTGAAAGGTTTGGTAGATCAGTTCTTATTTCACAAAAATAAATGTAACTAAGTGATTACTAGATATATACTTCCAAGGCAAAGTAGTTTACCCACTTTGTGAACTTTTTGCACGTGTTTAGCACATCAAGGCTGTTTACAAAGTATAACTTGGATGATGTGACAATATGGTTGAGGAAGGGGGTGTGGCTGGTTGTTTTTAAAAATTAGGCACCTCACAGTTTTTAAGACAAATGTGTTAACCTAAAATCTTCAGAAGGTAGGGTCAGGGGTCTTTTAAGGCTTTTGTATGGGCCAAAGACATAAAAAAGCAGCTACCTTTTTAGGATGTGGCTTAAAAGAAACCCGTTATTTTCAGTTATTTCTGTCTTCACAGTAAAATAATGTTTTGCAGCCTTTTTATGTAAAATAAAGGTGTTTTGTTTTGTTTTCATATTTTCATTACAGAATTTTAAATAAGTCTTATCATTATTTTAAAGCAATAGTTTTTTCCTCACAATATCAGAAACCTAAATTTTCACCCCCCCGCAAAAAAATGTTGATTTGAAGTAACTTACGCATCTGGACTCCGGGTGGCCTAACAGGCTCAGTGATTAGACAGGTGCTTTCACAGCCAAGGTCAAAGGCTCTTTCCCCTGATTAGCCCTTGAGAGGGAGCAGCCAGAGGCTCTCCTGACCAGCATAGGGAATGGGGGAGCAGGAAAACCATTAGAGGCAAAGGAGTGAGATTGGAAACTTCCTACCAACCATTCTAAGAGAGTTCAAATGCTGCGAGCAGCGGCGGAAGGGGGGGGGGGCATACGTGGGTGGGTGGGTGGGACTGAGAGCTCAGCAGGGCAGTGGACTAACACTCGATTTTGCACGCTGGGCCTCTAGTTTGGGACCAAAAGGAAAACTTTTTAACCTTCTGGTATGTCTATGTGTGTTTGAGGCAGGGAATACAAGATCATTTACATAATCAAACTGGCATTGGACTTAAAAGTAACATGGAATGTTAGAAATAAGTGAATAAAGTCTTATAAGTACTGGGGGGAAAAGGATTTTGAACTTAAGTGATGTATCAATTAATAAATAATTCAAGTGGATTGAATAATCACCCCCCCCCCCAAAAAAAATCCACATTTTTATTCTTGAAACCTATGAATGTTTCCTTATAGGGCAAAAAGGATGTTGCTGATGTGATTAAATTAAAGGTTTTAAGATGAGAGAATGCCGATTACACAGATGTACCCTAAATGACATTACATGTATCCTCAGAAGAGGAAAGCAGAGTAGAGTTGATGGACAAGAGGAGAAGGCAATGTAATGATGGAGGAGAGGAGTGGAGGGATGAGGCCACGAGCCAAGGAATTAGCAGCCATCAGTGACTAGAAGAGGCAACATCAAGTCTCTGCTCTAGAGCTGCTGGAGGGGCACTGCCCGGCGGCCTGATTCCAGCCCAGGATACTGATTTCAGACTTCTGGCCTCCAGAACTGGGAGAAAATAAATACCTATTGTTTGAAGTCACCAAGTTTGTGGCAACTTGTTAGAACAGCCACAAGAGACTGACACAGGGAGTTACTACCCAAATAGTACACTGGAAATTCCAGGTGCAGTGCACACACATGAGCTCCTCATCAAAGGTTGCCAGAAAGACTAAAACAGTACTTCAAAGACAAGTAGCCATAAACATCTCAAGATTCAAACAAAGTGAAGTGAATCCCATAATAAACGAGCATACATCAATAACCAGCAAAATTGGGGATAAATACAGATTTAACCAACAGTAGTTTATTCTGTCTCTGAAAATTTTGAATTGGCCCTCTCCATCCTCATATTTTAAAGTCATGTGATGTCCATGCCAGCATGTAGAACAAAAATTATTTTTAAAAATCCTCTTGGCAGAACTCGTCACTGTTTAGTGAGGTAGCTGAATAACACAGCAGGAGTTCAGTTCATAAACGCATTGCCAGTAGGTTCAACCACCACCCTCCTGATACATTTAGAATTTTCTTTCTTTATATAAATGCAACACAGCTGTAGTCTCTACTGTTGCTCTTTAAGGCACGCACATACCGTATATTGGAACTCACAATAATTGCTCCTTTAGAAAAAGGGATCATGGATTACTGAGTAACAGAGACTTACTACAGGTGCCCTACTGTACGTCATGCTATAAATCAATCAAGTCATTATTTCACAGCACTCCACTGTACTTGAAGTAGACTGTTCTCCATCTGTATGAATGTCTCTTTACTCTAATCAATCAATTCAATATATTAGTGGAAGCAGAAAACAAGTGAAATGTTTAAAGTGAATATAAAGTATGTCCCCCGCATTGTACTATGTACTAGACTAGGTAAATAGTAGTAAAAATGGGTCTCACCAGAGGCAACTTACCACATGCTCGGGAAGAGAAAACACCACACAACTGCTGGAAAGCTGTGCTAAAGGATGCCCGACGAAGTGCTGAAACCACTCTGGTGCTTCATTTTCCCTCTTCCTGTACAAATGAACATATCGAGAATATAAGGACTATATCCAACCTGTTTATAAAGTGAAAGCTACTTAACTGAATTTATTCATTTTTCAACTTGATCATGCTTTATTCACTCATATAATGAAAAATATGCCTGTCATGTACATTGACTAGGACATGACTGGAACAACCGCTTTTGCTTTGTCTGCCCTATACTCTCCTTGGAGATAGCGCTACTTGGAAGGCCACATTGTAACTGGAGGGTTGCTTGGGGAGCATGGACTCAGTGCCAGGGAAGTCATGTAGATGATCTAAAAGTTTAATAATGTCAATCAAAACAGACCTTTCAGACAACTCTCTGTGGACGGCTCACTTGATGTTACACGATCAAAGAAAATTACCTTTTTTGATGTGGCACCCACCACCCCAGCCTGAGTGGGTGAATCTAAGTCAGTCCTCTAAAGCTTTGCTCTAGCTCTGTAGCCAAAGATTAGCATTCTAGGTGACGCAGATGCTTTCAAGAGCCAGCCTAGGAATCAAACATCTCGCACAAAGCAACCTTACAACGCAGGCCTAGAAAGATGCATACCAGCCAGAAACTGATTTTTTCTAGAAGACTTTTCATTCCAGGTCTGAGCTACCTTCACACCTGCAGGACAATTTAGCCCACATGGTGGAGAGCAGTGCACGTTCCTCTAGAACATGGCATTATTTATTGACTATCTGCCTCACTCACATCTGTGAGATGTGGAAAGTCACCAACGATTTACAAAACTATCAGTCTTAAATAACACCATCCATCACAAAATGGAAAGGAGTGATCAACATTTCTTCAAGTGCAATGCATTATACAGGGGTCAGCAAGTGGGAGTCACGGTTGGCGACACAATTGTTGGCCTCGGGTAGCAAATCTATCCTTCCAGCTGTTCTGACCCATATGGGTTCAATGAACCACACACAGAGAGAGCAGCCTTCTTATTGGGAGTATCTGTTGCAACTCTTCCATCCAAACCCCGTCATAAAACAACTATAAGGTAAGCTGACGACCATTTATCTAAACTTCATCTGGTAGCCAACTGCTGACAAAGGAAAACATGCACATTAATGAACAGACAGATGCGACGAGGGAAATTAAGGTGTTCCTGTCTTGAAGAAATCAGAGATTTAAAATGTAGGGAAAATTAAAATAATTTAGTCATTAAGTCAATGCCAGATGGAAAGCCACCAGTGCTATTTTCCCTGCTAAGCACATCCCAGGGCTGTCCCTCATCATCCCGGGCTGCATTTCTCACAACATACAGCTCTGAGGGTAATGTTCCACAACCTCTCAGTTAGCCAAATCAAGAGTCTTGTTTCAATTTCTAGGACCTAGATAAGAATTTCAAAATAGTAAGTTGTATCTTTTCTTCTTGCATTTTGGGTCCCAATTTTGACTTTGCCCCAGGCCAGCAAATTTTTCATCCCAAGAATTTCCTATTAATCTTTGACTTACAGCCTACGTAACAATTTAGGAAATAGGAAGACTTGGCATGCCCTCTTAACATCGTTGACTTTTATTTTCTTTACCAGTAAAATGGGATCACAATAACTGTATTCCTTGTCACATAGTGGTTCTCGACCAGGGGTGGTTTCCACCTGCCAGGGGACACGTGGCAATGTCTAAAGTAAGTTTTAGTTGTCACAACTTGAGTGGGGAGGGAAGTGCTAATGGTGTCTAGTGGGAAAGAGGCAAAGGTTGCTACTGAAAGTTCTACAATGCTCAGGACAGCCTCAGCAAATAACTGATGAGCTCAAAATGTCAATTGTGCTAAGGGTGAGAAACTTTGCCTTAATATCATGAAGTTATCACAAAGCAGATGCTTAGTGAACAATTTTATGAATAATAATCATATTTATTTTTCAGTTCATCTTCATTTCATAACACAAATTAAACTCTCACTGATGAATCATAAAATAAGTGTAAAAAACCAATGATTGCCAATGGGGAAAAAAATCCTCATTGAAAACTATAAGCCTATATTATCAACAAGACAAGTAATAACAAGTGTTGGAGAGGTTGTGGAGAAAAAGGAAGCCTCATTCACTGCTGGTAGAAATGTAAACTTGTACAGCCACTACAGAAAACAGTATGGAGGTTCCTCAACAAAAGTAAAAATAGAGTTACCACATGATCCAGCAACCCCTCTTCTAGGTATTTACCCCCCAAAATTGAAAACATTTATTCACAAGGATATATGCACCCTATGTTCATTGTAGCATTATTCATGGTGGCCAAAACACATGGGAACAGCAAAGTATCCTTTGACAGATGATTGGATAAAGAAGATATTATATATATATATATATATATATATATATATATATAGCCTATATAATAAAAGCTTAATATGCTAAGTGTCCGACCATTTGTTCAACTGTTTAACCAGTCACTATGACATGCACTAACCACCAGGGTTCAGATGCTCTGATGGTAAGTTAGCTTGCTGCTGGAGTCCAGCTGATCAGAACTGGGCGAGATGAACTGGACAGGCCCTGGAGCCCTTCCATGGTCCTTCCCCAGCTTTGATCATGCACTGGTGGGGTCCCTCAGCTTGGCCTGCACCCTCTTGCAATCCAGGATGCCTCAGGGATGTCAGAGAGATGGTTTTGGCCAAATTTCTACAGGCTGGGCCAAGGGACGCCACCACTGCATAAACCCATGCACCAGGCCTCTAGTCTCTCTCTCTCTCTCTCTCTCTCTCTCTCTCTCTCTCTCTCTCTCTCTCTCTCTATATATATATATATATATATATATATATATATATATATATATATAAAAGCCTAAGGAACCAAATGACTGAATGGCCTGTCAACGAGTTACTATGTCACACACTGACCAACAGTAGAAGATGCTCAATGCAGGAGCTGCCTTCTGGTGGTCAGTGCACTCCCACAGTGGAAGTACCACTCAGCTGACTGAAGGGTGCCAAACACTGAGCTCATGGCTGGCGAGCACAGCTGCAGCACAGCTGCAGCTCAGCCTAGGCTCAGGCTCCTCCCCAGCCCCCTGCCACTTCATGCACAACTACATCCCTCTAAGGATGTCAGATTGCCAGTTTCAGCCTGATCCTTGATGGCAGGCCAGGCCTACAGGAATTGGACTGAAACCAGCACTCCAACATCCCCTGAGGAATCCTGAATTGCGAGAGGGCATAGGCTAGGCAGAGGGACCCCACTAGTGCACAAATTCATGCACCAGGCCTCTAGTGTGTGTGTGTGTGTGTGTGTGTGTGTGTGTGTGTATCAAATAATATTAGTCAGCCATAAGAAAGGATGAAATCACCATTTATGACAATATAGATGGATCTTGAGAATATCATGCTAAGTGAAATAAGTCAGACTGAAACAGTAAAGAACCACATGATTTTACTCATATCTAAAACAATAAAAGTGTAATATGCTAATTAGACTGGATGGTTGAACAGCGAATGAGGTCTGGACAACCTTCAGGACAAAGCTGGGGCTGTAAGGGCTGAGCCTCTTACATAAATTTTGTGCATCGGGCCTCTAGTTGGGATATAAAGCTGAAAGCAACACATGAATGAATAAGACAAACAAACAAAACTCATAGATTCAGGGAAAGGGGATAGGGTTAGTAAATGGGGTCAAATGTCTATATATATAAAAGCCTAATATGCAGAGTGTCCCCTCGGGAGTTCGACTGACTGGGAATTTGATCACTCACTATGACATGCACTGATCACCAGTGGGTAGCATGGAATGAAGGAAGCCTTTGGCCGGCAGCTGGCAGTGGCTAGGGACCCTATCATGTACAAATTTCATACATTGGGCCTCTAGTATGGTATAAAAGGAGATCTGACTTTGGGTAATACATCATCTATAATGTAATTATAGATGATGTATCATAGAATTGTTCACCTGAATCCTATATAATGTTATTAACCAATGTCACAGCAATAAGTAAAATAATTTTAAAAAATTAAAAAGACAAGTGTAAGCCTAGAATTGTGTAAAGCATAGGCTGCCCAATGTCGTATCACAAATAACCTGGGCACAGGCCTTGTTCACCAAAATAACAATGCTCTCTCCACCCCAAATTCAGTGGATCATCCCCCAGTTCTTGGCATGAAATCACCTGGGAAATTGATGGATGAGCTCTAAAGCTCTGAAGGACTGGATTTCTCTCTCTGGGGCTGGGCAGCAGAGTGTAAAATGTAGGCCAGCTGCTTGATCTTGACTTATCAGGTGTTTTCAGGAAGGGGTGTCTTAGGACATAAGGATGCTGATGAAATTATCCTGGGGTGGGAGTTAACTAGGCAGAATAACTGGCAGAGAGGGACACGGAAGTGGGAGATAGAAAGCGCAAAACTGGCATTATCCCTGAAGCATCTTCCTTTGGTAGTGGAGCACACCACGACCTGTTGTTCTCAGATTCATTCCTCTCCTTCCCTGTCCTGCTGCTGGAAGGGAGGGGAGCTAGTGCAGGCAAATCTCCTTATGCTCCTATGTCTGCGGCATTCTGCAGGGTTTTCCAAAGGAGAAATTGGAGGGCAGAGGAAGGGAGAAGCCTGAGTACTTTTCCCTTCCTTCTCTGCCTCTGGCACCTCCCTGGCCATGGCTGCATCGCCTCCGTGATGTCAATGTCCATCAGACAGGTCCTCTGTAGTTTCAGGTTCTATCAGGTGCTCCCAGGCTCTGAGCTCTGTTAACACACTTTCCTGCTTTTGTCCTCCAGTCTAGGGGTGTGGCTTCCTGCTGCTGCTAACTTTTGGGTTGCCTTGCTATCCTCTTAAAAAAAAAAAAAAAAAAATATATATATATATATATATATATATATATATATATATATATATATATATATATATATATTGATTTCAGAAAGGAAAGGAGAGGAAGAGAAAGATAGAAACATCAGTGATGAGAGAGAATCATTGGTCGGCTGCCTATTGCATTCTCCCTACTGGGAATCAAGCCCACAACCAGGATATATGCCCTTGACCAGAATCGAATGCTGGACCCTTCTGT